TTGAGGGGGGAGTGTTGGAATATTAACTCAGCCTCCAGTTCATCAGCTCATCTGATCACCAGCAACCAGCAGCTTCAACAGCAAGACCAGCAACCCACATTCTTTAGCAAAGCACAGCAGCAACACAGCAGAATCTGGAGATAAAATGCTGCTCCCTTCAACTATAATTCCCGCCTGAATTCAGCTGATTCTAGCTTATTCTAGATACTTCCTTAGTTTGTTATCTTGTTAGTTTGTTAGATAATTGGTTAACTATTTTCTCTATAAATAGAATAGATTGCCTTGTAATTTCCTTAAGCTTGAATGAATGAAAGTTCTTCATCTTCCCTGCATCCAGCAGGCCTATCCATTTTCTCTGTCTGTTAGTTTAGTTCCTTTAATTTCAGCTTCGAATCTCAGATCCCTCCTTGATTTTATCAGGATCAATTCTACTAAATGATGCACCAAGTTTTTCAAGTGCGGCACCACTTAGAACAATAGATGATACGAGTAACTTGAATCCTTTCAAGGGTGGAAGTTTTTCTAGCCTTCTCCTAGAGATGTACATTGAGGATCACAAAGAAGGGAATGAGAAGCAAAACCATAGATAACAGTGAGCAGAAAATTGGAAGGTACAATTGTCTTCAATTTGAAAAAATCGACCATGGCATGCTTTCCCGGAAGCTGGAATATGAGTCCGGGCAATAGAAATGCAGCTATGAGTGGGGTGGCCAAATCCTTCATTCTGGTAATTATGCTGTTTGATTCTTCCAACTTGATAGATAGAGAAGAAAGCATATAATAAAGGGACTTTGGTTGCCATACAATTTGACTTGAAATTCGGATTCCTCTCCCTTTACGAATAAATTAATTAATTGCACCTTTTAGCTTTTCCTTTTCCTTTTACGTATTAGCTTTGTCTCTGTTGGACACAAAAAATACTGTTTCATTATGTAAATTTCAACACTAGCGTTGATGGTGCTTGCATTACAATTTACTTTTCGTTACCATCCATTTGTTAGGATCTTCATAAATATTTTCACAAATAAAACGAGTGTGTAGATAAAATATGGATGTCTGGATCCTTTATCCACATTCCACAATGTTCCCAAAAAAGAGAGAGAGAGAGAGAAAAGTTTAAAAGAATAAATTCCTTTACTCATTATTTCTGTTTACCCAGCTAGCTAGCATTGTTCCTAAGCAACTGAGGAAGAAATTAGAATGGCGGACTGGGGGCCTGTTCTTATCGGAGTTATACTGTTCATACTGCTTCAACCAGGGCTTCTGTTTCAGCTACCGGGACACAACCGGGGGCTGGAGTTTGGAAGCATGAAGACCAACGGCAAGGCAATTGCGGTGCACACTCTTATCTTCTTTGCTCTCTATGCTATACTTATCCTAGCCGTCCACATTCACATCTACACCGCCTGATCTCATCCATCCATGTCTTCCTTTTTGAATAATCTTCATTCTTCAATGTTTCATCAGATTCACGTTAACTTTATTGCATTTTAGTCCTTTCTCATCTCAAATGTTTGGGTAGAAAGGGAAAAAAACCCCTAGAATGGCCAACCGGACTGTAGTTGCTTGCAGTTGTTCAAAGACAAATATGTTTTTGAATATTAAATGTAACGTAAATTATTATTATTATTATTTGAGCCCTGCATAATAAAAGCTCAATTTGAACATTTTCTTAAAGAACGGCATATGATTTTTAGTTCAAAATTTTGCGGACGGAATTCGGCTACCATTTATGCAGTTGGGGGGTTCTTATATATATCCTATCCCCTCTTCCGTTTAAGTAAATATGCTACCTAATTACCCTTCGGGGGTGGCCGAATTGGTGGAACAGGTGAATGCCTATCAAAGGTTACAAGTTCGAATCCCCTGTCAACACTTTCTCGGTCGAACTCGTCGCACTGGACTTGTCTAGTGCAATTTACCTCTCATGTGTGGTTTGCGGGCTATTGCACATGGAGCAAGGTTTATCTAGTGAGCACTTATAGTGGTCGGGCCTCCGTTGGTAGGTAGCGGCTGTGGGTTCCTATGTCAAAAAAAAATGCTACCTAATTAAAAAATCTTGAAATTAGAGCTTAATAGAGGTGTGAGTTTGGTGTGTTAGTAATCAAATTTCAAAACACGAGACTAATAGAGCTACTATCAATTTGACACTAAGTTTAGTAAAGAGACTAATATAGTTACTATTATTGAGGTAAATTGAAGTTTAGTAATTTGATTGAGACAAATTAAAGTTGATTGACAAAGTTCAGTGACCAAAAATGAAATCAACCCACTGTGCTATTTTCTGAAATCTCAAAATGCCAAGTTTCTATATGTTCATACATTTGATAATATTGAGTCAGTCCACTAAAATGTTCAATAGAACTACAAAAATAAATAATTATAAGAAAAAGTTTTTAAGTTGGACCGGCCAACGTACAATCCATACATTATTTCGAAAGAAAAATATTCGATTGTGATATATGTACATAATAATTATATAATCGTTTACTAATATATGATGTAGTAACTTCTTATATTTTGATACCTCATTATTATGTAAATAGTTAATTACAATAAGCATTTTTCAAAAACGTTTGTGTAACAAATGTTCACAAATTAAAATTAGCCGAAGGAAAGAAAAGGCAGGGGAAAGTTTATATGGGCCACTGTACACTAGTGAGCTCTAATATCTCAATCACACAAGCAACAAGTCGAGGGGGCAGACAATGAGACAGCGAATAGCAAACACAATTTCTCTACAAAGAAGCAAGATTTTCAATTCCTTATGCATAAACATATATATGTATAAAAAGATTGTCTCATTTACGGACTACTTATATATCCTTCATGTATTTATTCCAGGATTATTAATTAAATTACTTACATACCATTTGAAGACTTCAAAAAGCAGGATAAATTTGCATCTGATTGAGAATTTGTTCGAAATTGTCACTAAGTTTTTCTACTGGATGCAAGTGCATCCCCTCGTAAGTAGTCACCACAATGCCTTCATCCGTCGATTGTCTTTGCACTTGCTTCTTAACATTACACCCTTCATGAGTACATCGATAATAGCTTCTACAAAGAATATATGGATTCATTAGTTCAATTTAAAACAAATACAAGCTAGTGAAAATTTGTGCGTACTCACCATTGTGTTTGCCACACCGTAATAATTTGCATCTTGCATAATCATTAATTACGGGTCAACAATTCTTACTTGAAATGTTGAATTTCAACATCTTTTGAATGGTTGAATCACATTGCTTCCCAAACTTCGAAATATTCATTTTCTTGCACTCCAATGATCTCAATCTTGATCACAATGGAATGAGATGATTATCCACAATCTAAGTGCCTTATTTTATGAGTTTTCATGTCAAAATAATGATTTTATGGAATTTTCAATTTTGGTGTATTTTCAAATGCGAATTTCACCTCTCTTTCTCTCACAATGCAATAAGAAGTTGTATGGGAGTTAAGGATGATTATAGGGAGTTGTAAGTTTAAATTTCAAATTCAAACAATTCCCTCCAACCTTTTAATGTCTTGTGGGTTGAATCATCCCACATGGACGACTCATGACTCATATTTTCTAACATTTCTCACTTGCACATGATGGGTTTAGCCCTAACTACAAGTAACAACAAATATCACACGTTAAATCGTTCTCAAGGCCTCTCTTACAAAAATTCATAAGACAAATAAATCGTATGACCAACGAGTACTTATTAGAGTTCACGGTACTATAAATCTATTAGGAATATATAGTAGCTCTATTAGAGGAACATTACATCTCGCTATAACCCAAACTCATTTTCCAACATTAATTCAAGTATTTTTTATCTTTCGAATATTTATGGAACATTCTTGAACTCACATCGTATCATTGTATCCACAATTGTATTATATATCATAAATGATTAAACACAATTATCTGACCGGTGAATACAAATATAATTTTTGGTCAAAATAGTTTTCATTTCCTACTCGACTTCTTCAACTTTAAATCATCTGCTTTCTAGACATTTTCTATCAAACAGAATCAATTATAGTCTTTGCCACATGTTAAAGTAGCAACACGAAATAAAGTTTCAAGAAACATTCAAAAGTTATAAAATATATGAGGTTATATAAATTTCAAGGTCTCATACAATGAGAAAGAAGTTATACATTTACTTATTTACCTAATATTGGTCATAAAAACGCACATGGCATGAAACACTTGCTACAGTGTTTTCTCCTTTCTTAGAGAGTATGTCATATTCTTTATAAATAAACAACATTATCCTAGTTTAAGCATTCTTTGATACCTAATTTGATTTCTCCTTGTATTTATTCTTCTAGGCAATCACCAATCGAGAACTCTATCCGACTATAAAATAGGTCTAAAGGATAGCGAAATTCATTTCGATTACTTGTTGTAATCTCATTTTGATATCTCATTAAAGTAATTGGATTATGTAGACAATATGATAACTGTATCTCATCTCAACACACTCCAAAATGTCTAAGGCGATTGCTCGTGTGAGTGAGTCAATCTCAGCATGTTCGACATACTTTATATGTCCATGCAATTCATTATCGCATAATCCTAACAATAGATTACACATAAACTTAAAATTTTTCATCTTTGGGCCTACAAAAAATTCAATCAAGAGTTTTTTGGTATACTATCTACAAAATTCAAGAGATTAGATATTGCCACAAGTATATATCTAGACATCTTCAGAGTATGATGATTACATATCATCATTTATATAGATATATCGCAAATACATTTTCTTTGTTAATATTTCTCACAATATACACTACAAGATATTCTTCTTGTTACTATATATAGTAAGAGTGCACAAATCTAATGAATGTTTGTACTCGACTAACTCTCATGTTTAGTCGACATTTGTATATCTATTTAAATAACAAGTTATTCCCTCAACAACAAAATAGAATAATTGACAATAGTAACTTTCAAGTATCACAATACCCTTTCTAAGGATAACATCGATATCTAATGACTAGATCCATGGCATGACAAATTTTAGGACAAATATATATCATAACATCCTTCTAACTCCTAATCACGTTAGATATGATTTTTTGAATATTTTTTTTGTGCACTTATGGAGTCTTAAACATTTATGAAGACTTATATGGCTGCCTTCCGATATAGGAGTATCAATAAGATAGCAATTCCACAATTAAAAATATTCTAGATTCTTTATAGTACATAACTCTTGTGACAGAAAAAAGACTAACAAAATATACAATTTATTAAACCCAGGTCCTTCGCCTCAAGTATGAAGGACAACCTTTCAAAATGATCGCAATAGACTCTTTCTCATGCTTAGATAATATAGTGTCATTAATATTAAAATTAGAATTACAATCTACCATCAGAACTTTACCTATATACAGTGATCTTCATCCACATGATAAAATTTTGTACGATATTTAAACTATGTTAATACTTAAGTACCACTTTCAAAATGACTGCATTAGGCTACATATGTAACTACAAAGTTACCACAATACTATAAAAATCTTCAACATAAAACCTACAAATCGATTCATTTAGATCTCTCCAATCAACACTATATTAACCATTTCAACTAAGTTACATTCGATAAAGAAGATCAATAATAGAATTTAATAATTCAAATGCTCAAGTAATAGAATATATCTTTTTTCGTACTTGACAAAGTTTTTTTTTATCTTTATTTCTCAGAGTAGTATGACTCATATCAGGTCTTTTATTGTGTGGTTGATACTCTCTAAAACATCATAATCTTTTAATACACTTGAAATAATGAATTTGAAATTTTTTTAAATGGTTAAATCACTTTGCTTTCCAAACTTCAAAATATGCATTTTTCTTGCACTTTAATGGTCTCAATCCTGATCACAAAGGAAGTGGATTATTATCCACAATCTAAGCGTCTTATTTTGTGAGTTTTCATGTCAAAATAGTGATTTTAGGGCCTTTTCAATTTAGGTGTATTTTCCCATACGAATTTACCTTTTTCTTGCCATCATTTCTCTCTTTTTCTATACAATAACCGTTGGAGGTTGTATGTAAATTAAGTGTGGTTATAGGGAGTTGTAGATTTGAATATCAAGTTCAAACAACTTCCTTTAACCATTTTAATATCTCGTGGGTTGGGTCACCCCACATGGACGATCATTGACCCATTTTTTCTAACACACATAAATGTCATTAACCCATAACTTCTCGATAGAATCCAATGGCTAACTCATCCTACTAAAACACTTAACAACGTGGAGCCATGGAGGAATGATCATGCTCCAAAAAAGGGAGAACAATTCCATTCATGAATTTTAAGTTAATTATTCTCAGTAAACAGTGGTATCTAACTCAAACTCGCAGAGACACATGCGACACTTGGTAAATGCTCACAGTTGCATACTCAAACTCTGTAAAAACTCACACTAGAAGTAGTCATATCATAATTTGAATTGCTAAAGATATTGAAAAGTTTTCAGTTTTACTGTGATTTTGAACATGGCATGGACTCTTTTGTTTTAGTTATTCACAACGCTATATCGAACTGTTTATTTGTATCAGAGCAAATCCTACAGTTCCTTCCAATATTTCTATCTCATCTACATCAAATATTAGTTCATGCTTGTTGACATAAATGACAGTCAGAATGTAACTTGTTAGGCACCATTTTTGGAGTCAAACATTTTGTGACTAAAAGTGATCCACGTTACTAACAGTAGATTCTTGCATATATAGTCACTTTTTAAAAAAAAAAATTTATAATCCAAAGATCCTGTGTAAAAGCATATGCGAAAGTAATTTATTTATGAATTTATGCAGCCCACAATATGCTTGTATGCATTCAATGTCAGTTGCTTATTACCTTAAACCATAGATGTAAAGAGTAGAATTGTGCGTCTCAAAAAAAAAAAGAAAATAGAGTAGAATTGTGTCGAAATAATATGATCTACATAGATTGGGTGACAATAAGTCATAAAATATCTTGACAGAATGCTGTACCACTAGCCTTTACACTGATTAGCCTATTGGCTGGGCGTTTTTACTTTTAGGTTACAGGGAATTGCTTCAAGAGAGAGTACTGAAGCCATCATATATATGAATAGGAATATTAGCCTCAACGGACCATGGGAAAAAAAAAAAAAAAACATACAGACAATCGACCTAATTTGCACAAAAATATTTATGTTTGTGCAGATGTTTGCCGCTTGGGATAAAGCTTCGGAATCTTGATATCTATCAAACATAACACACATGCATGGTGATTTTATGCTTTAAGGAAAAACCAGTAGAAGCTTCAACCCCCCCTCATATTTAGATAGAATTCAATTTGTGCACTTCAAAGAGAGAGAAAAGAAAACTATTAATTATACTAATTTCATACTACTGTTTCTATAGCTGATGGAAGAAGAGCAATATATACCTTGGAAAACTTTGGTTCTTCACTGCCTTTTGACCGTATTTTCTCCAGCGATAGCCATCATCCAGTATATCAACTTTGCTTCTTGTTCGAAAAGCAATTCTAGGTTTTTTGGGTTTCTTCTCAGCACACTTTTCCTTACCAGATTTCACTTCATTTTCCATTGGTACAACGCTCTTGCTAAAAGAAATATCGTTCACTTGTGCTATAGGGAAACGGATTTCCCTCTTAAATCCATCCGGGACATCACTGTTATAAAATACACCATCTAGGGCATTAGAACCAGTCATGTTTGAGGATAAAGCTGGTGCATCTCCCAGCGTGGTAGACGAAGCAAGAAAAAGCTTTGGATGATTCTCCATTAATTTATATATGGACAACAGAAAAAGAAATCAAAGAGAAATGATCAGTGTATATATGTATAGATGAATAAAAAACAGTGGTCCTAAATTAGAACTAGGTAGGGCGGCTTGAAGACGAAGGCTGGGCAGTAGTACTGTAAAATGGGAATATATGTGTCTATATTATAGGCAAGAGGGAGGAGAAAGATGCCGTATACAAAACGTCAAATGTGTCAATGTAAGAATTAGAAGAAAAAGTTCAATGGAATTGTTAGTCCAGATACACGAGAGAATGGAAAAAGGAGGGCGGCTTCATCATTAAGATAGAGACTTCCATTAGTGATAGTACCACATTATATAGGTAAAGGTATTAATATCTGTCTCGACTGGATTAACAACAGTAGACACCAAGAACAAGTTTATTAACAAGACATGCAATGAACTAAATTGAAGAATGATTGCTCTTTCCATATGTTTAGACTGGTTTTGATTTGACACATATTCATACATATTTCAATAGCGAGACAGAAACTTAAATTTGTCTTGAATGTTGAAACATTAATAGTAATAATTAACTGAGGTAAGTTCAACAAGTTTATCAAAACATAGGCTTTATGTATCTAACATCAACAATATTAATTAAATATTTTATAGCATATATTCTTCATGCAGTATAATGTAACAATTCTTTTATATTTTTTCTATGACATTTTTATTGGTTAGAGATGTGTGTGTTTTAAAAAAAAAAATGGAATTAATATTTGAATTCAAGTTAGTTTAAACATGAGAGAATATGAATCTCCAAAAAGAGAGCAAAATATTAATTGTGTGATTTGAATAATTATTTAATTTTTCAAGGTGGTTGTTCAAAATCAAAATGGCATACCACGGGCCTAATTTGAGGTGGTGCCCCCTGTTTGACAACCATTTTTCTTAAATTCATTTTTCTACGTACTCATTTTCAACTGTATTCACACAATAAAATATTTTATATATAAATCAAAAACTTTGTCATACCTCTTCAAACAGAGGCTTACGTGCATGCATCTTACCTCTTCAGACAAAAAAAAATTTCACAAATAAGGAGATGCAACGTGCATGCATCTTATTATAATAGAATTTTCTTGTTTGGAAATACGAGAATAATATTCGTTGAAACGGAAGCTGGGATTAAGGTTTTGGACCACCACAGCAACATCTATTAGAATGTTGAAAGAGGACCATATATTTAGGCAGCCCTATCACTATTTAGGCAATTACTCAATAATTCAAAAGTAAAATGTCAAAAAGTCAAACAATTTTGCTTTGCAAATGGTAAAAAAAAAAAGTATCCTCTCTCATCCTTACATATCATCAAGGACAGAAAATAGATTATGGATTGGCATAGCCATATATACGTCTGGATTATATAAATCCAGATTGATTTATATATATGATTTGATTAATCGTCGACAATAAAAAGTTTCGGAAGTTATAATATTTGAAATCAAAATTGGTGGTCGAATGAAATACGAAAAATCAAAATGAAGAATTTTCAACCGCATCCTTTTCTACCTGAAAAGTAAATAGGGAAGCTTCTGTGTTGTAAATTAGTATAGCCTTGTTGAAGGAGAAATTGTTGGAAATGGGTCAAGTTTGACCAATAATCAGGGTGGGACCCGGTATCCATTTTGTGTGGGTCAATGGGCAAACTCATTCTATTCCGCGCGTAGATATTCGTGATATATTTGATTTCACAAAACCATTTCCGGATGAATGAGAAATTAATACTAGAAGTTGGCAACTTGAAAGTAAAAATCCTGAAATTNATCGAAGAAAATAAGCAAAAGTTGACAAATTTGGAGAAATGGCTAAATTGTAAGGGATCCAAAGTTCGGGGACTAAAATGTAAATACTTAAAAGTTGTGCCGAACCTCACGATGAAGATTTGAGAATGCTCGGAGTCAATTGGATAAAGAAAGATGTCAAGGGGATCAAATTTAGTCAAAAGATGATCACAAATCAAATTTTTTTATATAGAAAGATATAAAACAAGCAACATTCACTCATCCTTACATATCATCAAGGACAGAAAATAGATTATGGATTGGCATAGCCGTATATACGTCTGGATTATATAAATCCAGATTGATTTATATATATGATTTGATTAATCATCGACAATAAAAAGTTTCGGAAGTTATAATATTTGAAATCAAAATTGGTGGTCGAATGATATACGAAAAATCAAAATGAAGAATTTTCAACCGCATCCTTTTCTACCTGAAAAGTAAATAGGGAAGCTTCTGTGTTGTAAATTAGTATAGCCTTGTTGAAGGAGAAATCCCAGCAGTTTTCAATCCGAATTTCACAAAGTTGTATCTTATCCAATTTTAATTATCTGACCCAATATTCTCTTGTATCTTATTTTCATAAAGAATTCAAATGAAGTCTAACATCTAGAAGGGGTCCTAATTAATATTTATTATGGGTCCCGCTGACATCATATAAGAATTGAAAATGAGATTTTTATATATTGAAACGCGTAACGTAATTATGGATGGTGATCAATTAGTAAAAATGTCTTTCACGTCATAGAACACACAAGAAGAAGAAGAGGGTTATTTAACTAATTACAGACATCACGGATATTATTAATTAAATCTATATATATATAAACTTTATCACACGTTATCCAAAATAGGACAATGTAACAATAGTTTCACTCAAAGACGGAGATAAGGGGGGCCATCACCCTTCCAACATTGTCCACTGGTCCACTTTTCCTAATTAATTTGTAATGTATTTTTCAGTTTCGCCCCCGCAAAAATTTTGACTAGTCCCCGCAAAATTTTGAATTTTTTTTCCATTAATAAATATTGACCCAATAACTTACACTTAAAAACTCAACCATATAAAAATCTTAGACCTAAACTTCGAATCCAATCCAAACATACAAAAATCATACTTAAATATTGATCCAATAACCATACAAAATTCTTAGACATAAACAAAAGATCAAATAGTTACTTAAATAATTAAATAGCCCAAATCCAATCCAAAAGCAAGTGACCCATTTATGAATCAATTACCCAAAAGCACATACAGAACATGCATTTTCAGCTATGAGTAGGGCTCTCCGTGAATCGGTTCAGTTCGATTCTACTCGGTTAGGGAATGTCACCATGTGGACTTGATCCAACAATCACCACATCGGCTAGAATAGTATAAATAGCCACTCTCTGTATAGAAAAATGGGACGGTGGATTGATGCAAAGAAGATGCAAACACATACTCATACAAATACTTGAGACTTTATAAAAAAGAAGGGAACTCATTTACTCATCATATCTATCCTTCAATATATTTCATTATCATTTTGTTGAATAGGAGATCATTGATAGTGTGATAGTCCTCAAATATATCGTCGGAACCTTAATATTTTTGTCTTTCACTTGAAAGTGCCTCCCACGTTCACTGCAGTTGGATTACCGTTCTTATTATGGTAAAAAGTGCTAAATCCGTACTTGACGTGGCAATGTGGGCTCGGCATCTGTTGAGTTCATTTTTTGAGATCAACAAACACCAATACTAATAAATAGCATCGCTCATCCAAATTTTTTCTATCAACCAAATATAAAAAGAAAAAAAATAAAGATAAAGATAAATTTACATTATTCTGCGATCCACAAATGTTTTTACCCTCCCTAGATTACTTCAAAGAGTAAAAACAAAACACTGTATCGTTCATATCTTTGCCTTCTGGCAATACAACCAGTTAAATCACGCTACCGGTGGCTCTTGCTAATTTTGCAACTATTACATTCCTGAAAACTGGTGGAGGAGATGAGAAAAAATAAATAATCTAATTCAACTTTCATTTTTTTTTGGGTGACTGCAAAATCAAGTTTATATGCTGAAATGTTACTGTATCATAATAAAATTTTAATTGGAAATATTTAATGAATATATAGGGAGAAGCAAAGAGAGGACAAGCAAGCCGATTAAACAGAGAGGAGGAGGACAAGAGCTTCGATCCTTTGGCAAATCCAAAGCTTAGGCGGCGCACCCGATGCAGACCATTTCCTATTTGTCTTCACCCTGAAAAAAAAAAGTCAAATTAAACATCATTCTTCTTTTTATTATTTTAATTCAGTTTAGCCCCATTTGAATTTTTAGTACATTTTGATAAAAATTGATTAAAAAATTGATGAAATATATAGTTAAAAAATTTATAAAAGTCGTGAAATATATGATTAAAAATAAGTTCGGAAAACGAGGAATGGCTCCTTTCAAATTAGTAAATACCTTCCCTTTTGAGGCGAGAATAAATTCCATATTAGTCCCACCAATGTTGTTTCCCCAAGGCCGGCCCAAGAAGTGGGTCCATCTCAACAACTGTCGTACAGTTTAGGAATGCTGTACTATGCATAGTTGTTTTTTGCTAAGAATACATAGATACAGTTAAAACAGGTATTGAATAAGACAAAACGATGAAACTACAAACCCATCCTTGGAGATGAGAAATTTGTCCCCACATCGCCTTTTTCTTTCTCTTCATTGGACATTATGCACAAACTTTAGCCTTAAAAAGAGATGGAACCACAATTCTCAGCTTTAATAATTGTCCTTAAGAAATTTTGGACCAAACAATATGACTTCTTTCCATCTTCAAAAACCTTTTATTATACTACTGAGATTGGTAGTGGTAGCATAAATACTGAGATGGGCAACTTGAAAATTACAGTTGGGAGTCTAAAGAGTGACCATTCTTCCACCAAAGAAGAACCCATGTCTGTTTCTGAGTTAAAGAAGAATTCTTCATTATCTGACTTTGAAACACCCACAAGCCTAAATAGTTTTACCCCGGAAACAAGCCTAACTAGTTTGACCCCGGGAACAAGCTTAACCAGCTTGACTCCAACAAGTTTGAGTATTCCAGCTCTCAAATTTGAAGTGGATGACGATGTTGAAATTCAACTCCCTGATTATTCAATGTGGGAGTCTATTTTCTCTGATCAATTGGAAGGTGATTTTATGATTTCCTCTCCAGTGAGGAACATAAACTCACCACAGGCAAGCAACTTTCAGAACATCAATTCCAACTATGCTCATGCAATGCATGGGCAGGGTCTTATGGGGTGGTCTCCTCCTCGCGTATCGTCTCCTCTGGGGCCTCATAGCACTGCTATGCAGAAAGGTAAGGGAATCAGCCCTCTTCACAGGGTTTTCAACTCTCCGAACAACCAATTTATGCCAGTGGAGAGCCTTTCCCTGCCTGCACTAGAGAGCCTATTGGATGATAATAACTATGAGAAGGTCGAGGATTTCGTAGTATTCTCCCCTATGAAGATTAACGAAGGAGAAACTTCATCTGATTGTTTTGATGCACTTACAGGTGTTCCTGAATTGTTAGACTGCTTAACACTGCCAAACTCAACTAGATTTTGTGGATCAGTCGTGAATGACACAACCATCCATGGAAGTTCACATGCGACTAGAACCAACGACATTTATCATCAGAATGGATTGCTTCCGCCCTTACCATTATCACAGAAATTACGAGAGGAAAGTCAGCAAAAAAATCAACTAGAACACCATCAGCGACGGCAGCAAGAACAAGCGCCGCCATCACAAAGAGCGCAACAACAACTGCATCAGGAGCAACAACAACAAAATCAACTACAAAATTTACACAACTTAATAGTGCCTATTTCAATGGGACCTGAGCAGGTAAAAAAATTAGCTACCAAAAAAAAGTTCACCTCAAATCGTGGATTCACAATTCAAGAACTAACATTTTCCTTGTTATTATCGTAAAGGAACAAGACAGTGGACTCCAACTTGTGCACCTACTTCTTGCTTGTGCGGAAGCAGTATCCAAGGAGGAGTATATGTTAGCTAGGAGGTATCTCCACCTTCTAAATCGAGTGGTTTCGCCCCTTGGTGATTCGATGCAACGTGTAGCAGCTTGTTTCACCGAAGCCTTGAGTGGAAGGCTTGCATCAATCCTAACCAATAAATCTAGCACCTCCAATCCAAAACCCTTCAATCCTTTTCCTCCAAACTCCATAGAAATCCTCAAGATTTATCAGATTCTGTATCAAGCCTGTCCCTACATTAAATTTGCTCATTTCACTGCAAATCAAGCAATATTTGATGCGTTTGAGGCTGAAGAGCGTGTCCACGTAATCGATCTCGATATACTCCAGGGGTACCAATGGCCTGCCTTCATTCAAGCCCTAGCAGCCAGGCCTGGTGGTGCCCCGTTTCTCCGTATCACTGGAGTTGGACCCTCCCCCGAGGCGGTTAGAGACACTGGTAGATGTTTGACCGAATTAGCTCACTCCCTCCATGTTCCATTTGAATTCCATCCCGTTGGTGAGCAACTTGAAGACCTAAAACCACACATGTTCAACAGAAGGGTCGGTGACGCTCTGGCAGTCAACTCAGTTAACCGGCTCCATCGTGTTCCTGGACATGCTCTTGGAAATCTTTTAGCCTTGATCAGGGATCAAGCACCAAATATAGTCACCATTGTTGAACAAGAAGCAAGCCATAATGGACCTTACTTCTTGGGCCGATTCCTGGAGGCATTGCACTGTTATTCAGCAATCTTCGATTCGTTGGATGCAACCTTCCCACTGGATTCCGTGCAAAGGGCGAAAGTGGAGCAACACATATTCGCACCAGAGATTTGCAACATTGTGGCATGTGAGGGGCCAGAGAGAGTAATGAGGCATGAAAGGCTGGAAAAATGGAGGAAACTGATGGAAGGAAAGGGATTTGAAGGGGTACCACTGAGTGCAAGTGCAGTGACTCAATCAAAAATATTATTGGGATTGTATTCTTGTGATGGATATAGATTAACAGAAGACAAGGGTTGCTTGCTATTGGGTTGGCAGGACAGAGCCATTCTGGCTGCTTCTGCATGGAGATGCTAATTCATATTACGTGTCCGTGTTTATTTTTCTTTTAGCTTAATTAATTATATTAATATTTAATTAGTACAAGTAATCTGATTGAATAATTATGGAAATTCAATGCTTTACAATTAATATTGACCTTTTCTTTTTGTAAGATTTTATGAAAAGTACTATTTTTGAAGTGTCTTGTTAAAAAAAAAAAGGTATATGGATCCACATGTAAAATTATTTTATTGAAAATTAGTGTAATTTAAAATGAGTTTAAGCAAAAAAAAAATAAGTTTCTAAGAATCTATGTCAATATAGACTTAGCCCATGTTTGGTCCGGATTAAAATCTAATTTTAATTCAAATCAGAGTCAAACAATCAATATTAACCACATCTTTCATGGGTCCCACAACTTTTCAACCACACATTTCAAAAACTTCTATCACAATCTATTAAAAATCTAATTTTAACTCTTACCAAACACCCTCTTAATATAAAATGCTAACAAATTGCATTTTCAGAGTTGATAATTTGACTTTTATTGACAATATAAAGTGTTTATTAAAATTTTAATTTGTCCTAACATATTTAAGCATGTAAGGAATATATGACACAACTTGAGAAAAAAATGCATGTTTAGGAATTGTTTATAAACAATTTATATTATAAATAATTATAGATAAGTAGTGTATAAGTGAATAGTATTTATGGATCCGGGTTATCGAACAAAACTCCCCTAACCTTTGCCCCTATTGCGGAATAACTCCCTATCATTTCAAATTGGTGGAAAACCCCCATATATGACATTTGAGGTGCAAAAATGCCCCTTGTCGTCCATCCATATTAATGTTACCGTTAAATCCACTTAAAGAGGGTTAAAATGAATAATTTTGAAATTGGGTAATTTGCCTCTAATTCGGAATACCGCTATCATCTCAGATTTGTGAAAGCCCCCTAAATGTCCTTTTAAGTGCAAAATGCAACATTTTCTTTCATTTTCTCAATAAAGTATTTTGAAATGAAGAATATATATTTCTTTTTAAATAAAACAAAGTAAAACTTTATTGAGAATATAAAAGAAAATATTGTACTATGTACTTAAAGGTCATCTAGAGAGTTTTTTACTAATCTGAAATGATAGAGGATATTCTGTAATAGAGGTAAAGGTTAGGAGAATTTTGCGTCAATTATCCAATTTCAAAATTATTCATTTTGTCCCTCTTTAAGTGGATTTAATGATAGCATTAACGGGGATGAATGGCAAGGGGTTCCGCACCTCAAATGCCATATAAGGGGGGTTTTCCACCCATCTAAAAGGATAGGGAGATATTCCATAATAGGTGCAAAGGTAAGAGAGCGCCATCACCCTGTGGATCCCCTCCAATGCCATCATGGGTCAATGGCCAGGTGAGACTTTTACTATTAGTTTTACTTGGGGTGCGTTTGATTGTAAGGGTGAAAAATAGATGGAAAGAAAATGAATTTTAGGGAAAGTAATTGTCTAGAAAATATTTTGTAGGGAATTGTTAATTAAGTGTGTTTGATTGTTATAATTTTCCATCCGGAAAATTTTTAAATTTTGTGATCGTTTGATTTTGTTTTATATGGAAATTGTTCATTAAAGTGATAATTATTTCCACAATTGGTTATAAAATTTGTTTCCATTGCCAAAAAGTAAAAAAAAAAAAATACCTAAAAAATCATTTTTTATCAAAGTTTAGTATTCGTTTAACTTTTTTTTACATGAAAATTGTCCATTAAATTGAA